GCTGCAAATGTTTTCTAAGGAATACCACAAAGACATGTGGAGTTCACTCCACATGTCTTTGTGGTATTTAGCATGACGAGTGAGAGATTCCTTTGGATAAACAGATATTTCTGTTTATTCAAAGGAATCTCTCACTCGTCATGCTAAATGTTTACTAATTCAATATAAAAACACCCCTACCTAATACAGGGGTTATAAAAAGGCCAGTAAGAACTAGGGTTTCTCATTTCCCGGGAAATTTGCCTCCAGCGGGATTACGGGAAATTCCAGGATGAGATAGTAAAATAGAATTTTATATGAATAAAAAAGATCATACATGAATATCATAAATCACTTTTAGTTTCTAGTAAGTAACTAAAAGTGTAGGGCCAATCTCACCCATACGAACACATTAGGCTCAATTAATTTATGTTCTCCTACATTATAAGATGAAAGTAAAATAAAGCATTTCATTGGGAGTTTTAATGATTACGAAAAAAAAATACTATTTTATTTCTAAAGATGAAATAAAAAATAAACTAAAGTGCGATGAGTGATATTTACTTTCAGCGAGTGCTCCGCTGTTCAATGATGCGCAAACACAATACATAGATATTACATGAACTAACAAGTAGAGACTTGTAAAACATAGGTAATAATATGCAGTAAAAACCTCAAAATTTCTCTCTTAGGTGAGTCTTCGAGATTCAACTTTTCGTATAATAAATAATAGAAAGAAAACCTGACATGATAAATTATTTTTGTATGTTTGTATACTGGCACAATGAAGTGACCTTCTTTATCAACACTTGGCAAGTTTTCAATCTTTATTCAGTTTCGACAACAATGGTAAATTATTATTGAAATGCGAGATTTCCCGGGATTTTTCTAGTAGGGAATAAACAGCGAGAATGCCGGGAAAACGGGATCCTGGGAAAGAAACCCTAGTAAGAACCCACTAAACACACAAAGAGTGAAAGCAGCTCTCTCTAAATCTAAAAAATCAGAGACTTACTCTATGAGTGAGTTCTCTGACATCTCTGATGAAGAGAATAATAAGGAGGTTACAAAACCAACATCACCTCCAAAAGAAAAACCTCCTGTGAGATTAAAGAGGGATACTCTCACAAAGAATGCTGCCTCAAACACATAATGAATTACAAAATAATCCAATGGAACTGTCGTGGTTTCCACAACAACTTCTCTGACATTAAACACTTGACATCATCTACCTCATCTCTCTGTGTGGCACTCCAGGAAAACCCTTCTAAAACCTGGCGAAAGTATTTATTTAAAAGGATTCAATTTCTATCACAAGGATGATGATAGCTACAACCATGCCAGTGGAGGTGTGACTATTCTGGTTTCAAATCGCATCCCATCCTTGCCGGTACAAATAACCACTGATTTGCAAGCTATGGCAGTCAGGATTTCTATTGGATAACTGTCACAGGTTTCTATATATTTGCCACCAGATATCAGAGTCAATGAGGATGAATTGGATGCCTTGGTTGAACAGCTGCCAACTCCATTCCTTTTACTTGGTGATTTCAATGGTCACAATCCAATGTGGGGCAGTCCCGACATCAATTGTCAAGGCAGAGGCATTGAGAGATTTATAGCAATCATCAACTGTATTTATTTAATACTGGAAAATCCACTATAGCATGATTAAAAATCTGTTAGACAATTCCCTTGGTAATCTTTTGAATCTGTTTAACCGAATATGGATAGAATATGCTTTTCCTGACTCTTGGAGGTTATCGATTATCATTCCCATCCCTAAGCCAGGCAAAGATCACAAGTATCCCTCTAATTACAGACCAATCTCTCTGACAAGTTGCCTGTGTAAACTCTTTGAGAGAATGGTAAACAGATGCCTGATGTTCCACCTAGAGGAAAAGAACTATTTTTCACCACATCAGAGTGGATTTCGTAGGAACAGAAGTACCACAGACAATTTAGTAAACGTTGAAACATCTATATGAGAAGCGTTTGTTCGACGACAGCACTTAGTGTCTGTGTTTTTTGATATAGAGAAGGCCTATGACCACTGCTGGCGATATGGAATACTTTGTGATCTGCACCAGTTCAGATTGCAGGGTAATTTGCCAATTTTTATAAAAAACTTCCTACAGAATCGAAGATTTCAAGTTAGGATGGGCACAACTTTATCTAGGCTTGTGAAAAGCCTAGATAAAGTTGTGAAGGTGTTCCTCAAGGTTTTATTTTGAGTGTAACTTTGTTCCTAATTAAAATTAGCAGCATAGCTAACTGTCTCCCACCTAGTGTCAAACATACTCTGTATGTGGATAACTTCCAGATCTCCTGCCAGTCTAGTAACATGAGTTTTATCGAGAGACAACTGCAAACCTTCCTAAATCGTATACATGATTGGTCCAAGACCAATGATTTTAGTTTTAACAGGGAGAAGACCTCTTGCATCCACTTTTGCTGAAGGCGTGGTTTGCACCTGGATCCAGAAATTCATCTAAATGGGGTTAAGTTTTTCGGTGTATATTTGACCAAAAACTGACATTCTTACAACATTTGCACAACTTGAAGAGTAGATGTTTAAAATCTCTGAACCTTCTAAAGGTCTTCTAAAGGAACATTTGTCTGCTTATCCTGGGGAGCAGACAAATGTTCTATGCTTAGGATTTATAGGGCCATTGTCTGCTCAAAGCTGGACTACATATGCATTGTGTATGGCTCTGCACGAGAATCTACTCTTCGGATGTTGGATCCAATCCACCATCAAGCATTGCGTTTGTGCACTGGTGCTTTTCGAACTTCTCCTGTTCAAAGTTTGTACATGGATGCTTATGAGCCTCCACTATCTCTTAGGAGAGAACAATTGTCTCTCTTTTATTACATTAAACAGAAATCTCAGAATAAACTTTCAGCTGATTGTTCAGATACTCAGTTGAAAAGATTATTTGCAGCTCGGACAAGTAGTGTCCCTACATTCAACAAAAGAGTGGAGAATGTAAGCAACACGATTGACCTGGACACAAGCAACATCTCGCATGTTGAGGTTAATAGTATTTCACCTGGGTCAACCCCATCGATAAATGTTGACTTAATTAAGCTTAAAGCAGTTCCCCAAAGAAACCACTTGACATATAGACAGCACTTGGCAGAAATTCAACATTGTGACAGGAATTTAATTCCTATATACACTGATGGATCTAAATCGGATAACTATGTTGGCTTAGCCTTTGTTTGCCAGGATAAAATCATGGCAGAACAAATAGCACCGAATTCTTCCATCTTTACTGCAGAGTTGCAGGCTATTTATTTAACCCTAAAGTATATAAATAGAAAAGATCATCGTTGCTGCGTGATTTACACTGACTCAGTTAGTGCACTTCAGGCTTTGATCTCATCCAAACCTAGTTCTCACTCTATAGTGATTAAAATCCATAATCCGATTTGCCATCTTGTGAGGAATCTCTCTATAAAATTTTGCTGGGTCCCAGGCCATGTAGGTATAAGAGGAAATGAAGAAGCTGACGCAGCTGCAAAGTCAGCAAGTCCTTCTCAGCATACAATGTTTATTGAAGGAGGTGACTTGAACCTAGTCATTAAAAAACGACTAGCAGAGAGATGGCAAAATGTGTGGAATGCACAAGTCCACAATAAACTATATGAGATCAAACCTATGATAGGCTTTCTTATGTGTCCAATTTTCTATGACAGGAGATCTGAGGTTATTTTCACTCGTTTGAGAATTGGACATACTCGGTTGACTCATCAATACTTTTTGAAGGGTGACGAGCAGCGCAGTATTGCAACTGTCCTTTTAGTATAAAACACATACTGCTCGATTGCTCTGCCTTTGAGACCAGGCATAGACAGTATTTTGGGACAGGGTGTTTGACAGAGATTCTGAGCCAGAAACCTAATCTTTATAATGTATTGGACTTTTTAAAGGTCACTAATTTGTATAAAGAGATTTAACTATTTATTTATCTTCCACCTTTTTGTGTGTTGTTTGTTTGTTCTTGTTATTTTATATAATATATACATATTAAGTTGACAAATTAACCATTTTGTGTGGTGCAGCTTGGCCTTTGTGGCCCTTGTGCCAAAAAACTGCAACCAACCAACCAATCTTTGGCTACTTTTTCTTGGACAATTCTCAAACTGGCCATTGATTGTCGGACACATTGGCCAAAGCAGAAAGTAATCATAAATTCTTGTATACTTTGGCTTCTGCCACAACTTGGCCAAAGCTAGAAGTATCCAGCTTTTCCCAAATTGGCTAGACTTCGGACATTGGCCATAACATTATATATATATATATATATAATTTTTTTCATTGTAATACTATGTATCTAGAAAATTTTATGCTGGTACATACCAATGTAAAGTTTATAAAAATTTAAGAAAAAATTCTTAAATATACAATACGTACAAATTTAGTCCTTTCATATGCACATGAGGAAATAGACTAAAGTACAAATGTGTCTACATTTGTATGTATTGTCTATTCAAGAATTTTTTCTTAAATTTTTGTACTTAAATTTGTCCTGGCAATTTTTTATAAAATAAAATTTATTAAAATGTTGAATATAAGTAATTTTGACTGTGATTTTGTGTTAGTCAGCAAATTTATACTTGATAAAAGAGTCATAAATATTGTGAAGTAGTGTAAACATGACAATAAACATTTTTCAAAAATGTGTTTTTGCTGTTTGAAAGTATAAATTTTTACACAGCTGTGTGTTTAATGAAGTAGTGCACATATTACATTTGCAAACTAACTTTTTTTGGGTTTTGACATCTTTGAAATTGAATATACATTAGAATCAAGAAAATATATTTACTACTTGTAATAAAAAAGATCAAAACATGATATAAAAACTAATTATTTATAGTAATAATATTTTCATTTAAATAAACCTAAGAACTTATTGAATTCTCTTAAATAAATACACAATTTAAATTACTTAATTAACTTGCCATAAATACAAATAATACATTTTTAAAATTTGCATTTGAATTGATTGAAATACCTGAATTTCTGCAAGACGTATTTCCAAAATGCATCCTTACATGTGTTTTTGCATAGGTAGAGGCTAACTGATGGAATATAGATCTCTCAATTACTGTTAACTGCTTTTCTGTAGGAGGAAAAAAAAAATTATGATTATTTTTCAATCAGTCTATTAGATAAGATATAATTTTTTATCTTGGCATAAAAAATGCTTTGAATAAGAGAATTATAATATCTTAATTATCTTACTAAAAACAGATATTAAGAAATTAAAAAATAATATATTAGTTTTCAAATCACAGAAAAATCAAATCCTTTCTCCAAGTAAGATAATTTGAAAAGCCTATTTTCACCAATAAAATGTTGCAAAAGGATATGTGAAAAATTAAATTCTATCTTTTCATTGTCTCTATTATTTTTGTTTGCTACATTGACTTGGCAGAGTCAATTTAGTTCAAGGCAGTCCTGACTTGAAAATTTTGAATTCTCACTTAAATGACCATTTGCTGCATAGCTTCTAAAGATTAGTTGCAAGATATCAAATTTATGTATTGAATTGTATTTTATGAATTTGAGAATAAGTTATTTTACTAGTTGTATTGTTCTATATACTACTAGCTGTTACTCGTGACTTCGCCCATGCGGATTTCGCAAGCAAACACCATTTATATTCATTATTTCAACAACCATAGTAATTGTTATATAACACCTACTTCTGAGAATCAAACGAATTGTTTTCAATTTGATCAATTTTCTGGAATGTTTACAATCGTTCTGTAATCGAACCAATATGCAATAAACAAATTCGAATTTAAAATGGTTTGAACATTTGGTTAAAAAATCGAAATATATAAAAATATTTGTAACAATGTCTGATATGTTATCAATTTAATACATCTAAGTACTCAATGAAGACTAAATGTAGTTAAAAACAAAAAAAAATCACATCTAAAATAGAACAGTAGAAGCCATTCTTCAGCCACTTTCTCTTGGATAATTCTCAAACTGGCCATTAATTGTCAGACACATTGGCCAATAACATATATATAATACAGTAGAAGCCATTAATCCTTTCCCTCTCTCCTGCGAGAGGACTTCGAAAAATCCCTTCTTAGTATGCATTTTCATGACGTACCCTAACTGCGTACTAAATTTCACCTCTTTAGGTTCAGCAGTTTGTTCTGGACAATGGTCAGTCAGTCAGGACAAATAATTTTATATACGAGAAATGATCAAAAACTAACGTTAAAAAGCCTGCAGTGAAAGTATTTTATTTCATACAACCAATACAGTCAACTGATAGTTCAGTACATACATTAGGTTATTTTTTGACATAGTCTCCATATCGGTTTAGGCACTTGTCACTTTGTGTGATGAGTTTGAAAATTCCCTCCTGGTAAAAATCCTGTCCTTGTGTGTTCAGCCAAGTTGTTACGAAGTATATTACTTCCTTGTCTGAAACAAATCGTCATCCTGCTAGGTTCTCCTTCAAGCAAGGAAAACAGGTGAAAGTCACTTGGAGTGAGGTCCAAGCTGTAGGGAGGGTGATCAATGATGTCACAGCGAAACTGCTTCAACAGCATGGTGGTCTTCTGGGCTGTATGAGGTTGTGCGTTGTCACGAAGGAAGATGATATCCTCAGTGAGAAATCCTGGCTGTTTCCTCCTGATTGCTTCATGCAATTGTGTCAAGGTCTCGCAGTATAGGTCACTGTGTGCCACTGCGATCCTCGTTGGTGAAGTTTTCTCTACCGGCCACAAACTTCCAACACCATTCTGCAACATGCTGATGAGACATTACAGTATCTCCGTAAATCTCTACCAGCTGCCGGTGAATTTCAGCCGCAGTTATATGCTTCGCCCACAGAAATTGAATAACCGAGTGGATTTCTTCGTGAGACCAGTTTTCCAAACGAGTCACCATTTGTGTTTACCTACAACTAGCACTGTAGGTGGCGGGTGACTGAAACTCTGCACAGTTGCCAACCACATGTATTGGAATTACGGCACACTTCTCATTTCTCTATAAAAAACAAAACTCCAGGAATATCAGCCTTGTAACCTTAGTTTTTGATAAACCCTCATATTTAGATGAATGAAAAGTTTCATAGTCATTTCATCTATTGTCACTATTATGTCCCGTAAAATAATTAAATATAAGAAATTTCAATTTATTAATTATTTATTACACTGTTGACTTGGTATAACACACTTCAATAAAACAAAGACAACCTGTGGTTTCCAATTTATTGTCTGGCCATTTCAAATTCTGATAGTTTTATTGATATGCTGTTGAGTTAAATTGGCAGTTAACAGTACAAATTTAAAAAAAATTGGTTTAATTCACAATATTTTTTGGCCACATCTATACTTTATAATTGCTACTGCATAAACACAGCGTAATCCTTGAGATAGTCTTGATATAGTACAAGCAAAAAAAAAAAGAAATGTTTTGTTCCTACTTTTTTTTAGAATTTTTAATTAAACTGAAAAAAATTAAAGAAATGCATTAATTTTGAAGAGAAAGCTTCAAAGTTTAACTTCCATTGTCTCGCCTTTCCACGGAATCTGACACCGGTGAGTAATTGTGTTTACAGCTGGTATTGTCTTTTGTGGAACATTCTCATAAAATTTACAGGAGGAGAAGGTTTTAAAGTAGGGTGAATACTAGCTGGCTGTATATTTTTAAATATTTTTCAAAAATTACGTTTTTTATTGCGACTTCCGATCCCCGACTTAATTAAACATATATATAATAAAATCTATTAATTAAAAAAATTAAAAAACTATTGGAGGTCATTTTTGACATTAGAAACTAACTTTAAATAACTTTACCGAAAGAAAATCCGTGTACTAGGAAATTTGATAAAAAATCCCATAAAAAACAATTAAGCGTTAATCATGCGTCATTAAAGGTAGATTAAAATCGCAATAAAATTTTTTCGTGTGGAAAAAAATTTTTGTAAAAAATTTGGAGACTTAAAAAACATCCAAAAATAAAAAAAAATTTTCCCGGAGGATCCATAAGACCGTTTGTAACACTATGGAACCTGCTCGAGCGTGGGCACAAAGGGGAGATGTCTGAATAGAATGAAAGGTAAGCTGATAAACAGTGGGTTGGCATGTGATATGGGTTGTTCTTACATGTGGCAGATATTGTTCCTCCTTAGAATGTGACCACATACAATATGATCAAATGTCTTGGACCCCAAGGACATGTTATTTCAAGTCAATGCTGTACTTATACAGAAATTTTACTTTGGGAAGGCTTTTCATGTCAAATATTTTTAATTAATACAAAAGGCAAAAATTAAATTAAATAAAAATAAATAGGAAAAATAAAAAATGGCCAAAGATCTAAAATTGGGTTATTGATTAACAATCAAATCTAATTAGCACAGTTATATTTGATAAACTAGGCTTTAGATTTTTGGATATTGGACTTAGATCTAATTCTATACAAATATAAACCAATCTCTACAGACTGTAGATACTTTTTCAATTGTAAATTTGCAGACAATAAAAATGCCAAGTACACAATAAAGGCATTTATTGTCATTGGGAATTATTATAACAATTATGAAACAATATCATATGAAAGAAAGAAATGAATATCAGAAAACAAATATATTAAATTACTGTAGCCCATATATTCTATAATTTCTTGCATTTTCTAATATTCAGATGAACAATAAGATAATATATCTCAATATATTTCATGTAGATTAATATCAAACAATAGTAAAATTATAGTGGTGCAATATGCACCACTATAATTTTCTAAAACAGGAAATTATTCTAACTTTAATATGCTGATGGTGATATTTCAATAGTGATTATAAATATATCTTTAATAACCATTATAACAAGACACAACATAAGACTGTTCTTAAAATTACTATTATGTTATATTCATGATTTTGATGAAATTCATGTGGGAAATAACAGTTTATATTAAACAAAAACATTTGTTTAATTCAATTTACATAATTATTTAAAGTTGAAACAGTGAAAAAAATGTGTGAGTTAAAGAAACTTAAATAGAATAATATTAAAGTTACACACTCAAAGTTCTTACAAATTCATGAAAAAAATCTACTTTCTTGGAGTAATCTAATATATAATCGAGACGGGTTGATAATAATAATAATAATAATAATAATCAGCGCAGAGCCCAAACGGTTAGGAATTGGAAGCTGAAATTTTGTACACAGTTAGGGTACGTCACGAAAATGTACACTAAGAAGGGATTTTTCGAAATGCCCCCCTGGGGGGAGAGGGACAGGATTAAGGCTTAACACTTCCATCAACAATGGAAGTGTCAACAATGGAATTGTTAAGAGAAAGCGACGTGCAATACGCAGATGCAGTTTTTTTCGTTTTTGCGGGAAATTAAACATATTTTTAGACCCATCTAAAAATTCTCAAATTAGTCTGGAAACGGGGGACCCGATTCTTGCATTCTGTGAAAACGGGTAAGGTTGACTGTAACGTAATAATCTTTATCTTGGTTATCGTTACTTTTGCCCGAGCAACACCGGGCCCACCTGCTAGTTATTAATAAATCTCACATTCCTAAATACTTTTCACTGGAATTCCAAAGATTTTAAAATATTTGAACTCTCTCAGTTTAAGAGCTGACAGGAAATATCATTCAAAGGAGATGATTTTGTGTTAAGAATTTTTTTGGAATTGAATGCATTTGAAAAGTTTGAATTTGAAGACTACATTTTCTTTTAAAAAATGTTGATATTTGTGATAAGGCCCCCAAAGATAGACTTTCTTTTGGTCAGTCTGAAAGTGCTCAGAAAGATGAGATTAATAAGCACTTCAATAAAATATCATGAATCATGTAAAACATAGAATAAATGAAATTAATAAAATATTTTAAGTACAGTTTCAGACTAATTTTACTCTTATTTCTGAAATATCTTGCTTAGAATTAATGTGAAAATAAATGTTTGATTATATTTTATTAAAATTACTTTATAAAAAATTTTCTAATTAACAGAATTGCCACTTCTCATATTTACCTTTATCTTTCCGAAATGGATAAGCAGTGACCAAATTGCCCGAAAACAATGACACAGATAATAAAAAGGGTACATTCTTTATCCATTGTTTAATTGCTTCTGTTTCACTTTGGATGATAACTTCTCTTGAATCTAAATAAAAAATACAATTTACATTATAAAATGATTATAGTAATAATTGTAAATCACCAAATGATCGCCTGAATATTGGGCTATAATATGGCTAATTAAATGATTGGTATAAAGTAATTTGACTCGAGGTAGACATTAGGTGCCATCTCTTAATTAAATTAATAATTATAATTAAATAAATTTAGAACCTAATGGAATAAAAGAACTGGCCCAGGACGGGGCTCAAACCCGCAACCTCCGCTTGCCATGCGGTGCGCTTGCCAGTTATGCCACATGTACCCCTAGCGAGTCTTCGCTTCCAGAAGTATATTACCTTTCAGGCGATCGGTTTGTGACTTATTGTATATTACTTAGGCTTTGCGATGCTATTACAGTGGAACCTCGGTATACGTCTGCTTTAGAATACGTCCAATTCGGAATGCGTCCTGTTTAGACGAAACAAATTTTGCTCGGTATACGACTTAATTCAATTATACGCGCCATCTATGAACAAGTAACACTATCGGTGTACTACACTAGACTAGACGTTCGCGGTGCTACGGTTTACAACTTTGTTAAATTTCTTCTGATTTTAATTTGTAAGTAACATTTTATTATCTGTATTAATCATGAATTGCAAAAGGGCAACAGAAAAATAAAAAAATGACTAAAATCACAATGAAACTGAAAAAAGAGATTGTTGAGAAATGTGAAGGTGGCACGCGTGTTCGAGATTTAACTGTTGCATTCCGTATTCCGAGAACGACGATATCGACAATCGTGAAAAATAAAAACATTATTAAATTTGCTAATGTTGCGAAAGCGAACGCTGCGAATCAATTTCTAAACATAGATCGAAGACATTAGATCGTGTTGAGAAATTGCTTTTGCTTTGGATAACTGAAAAACAGTGTGCTGGCGACAGCGTATCGGAAGCAATTATTTGCGAGAAAGCTAAAAAGATACATGCTGATCTCATAAAAAATCAAGCAGGAACTAGCCAGGAAAGTGAGGCGTTTCAAGCCAGCCACCTTTTTTACATGAGAACGGATTAATCATTTTTACATTACTTCTTATGGGAAAGATTGGTTTGGTATACGTCCTATTCGGTATAAGTCCAAACACCAGGAACGGATTAAGGTCGTATACCGAGGTTCCACTGTATTTATAATAATTGTATTCATTAAGAGCACAAACTTAAACATAATGTATAATTAATAAATTTTAGAATATTTCTAAATTTAAAATAGTTTGGCTACACTCTTGTAATATAGCAGTCAATATATATTTAAAAATTTTCATCTGTGTAATGCTTTTGGAATTATATATATGATAAAAAAATATTTAATGTAAATTATTAATCATTTAATTCAGTGATAAATGATTATCTTGATCAAACTTACATAATCAATTATAATTCAAAAATTTTTAACAGTAATTTTTACTATTTATTATTATAAAAAAATTAATATTTGTATTAAACAATTTTTCTATTACAATAATATTAAATAAAAGTCTTTGCATTAATTTTCTTTATATAAATTGAAACAACTCTAGAAATTTATTTTTCATTTATACAATAAATTAACATAAGCCAGATGAATTACCAGAATTTTTGGGCTATAATATGACTACTTTTAATAATTGGATACAAAGAAATTTGTATTAATTAATAAATTAATTATTAAATGAATCACAAAATGACAGCCTAGCCACCTACCTCTTGTCAAATTACGTTGAATCCAATTGTTAAAAGTAGTTATATTATAGTCCAAAAAATCTAGCTGGAATTATTTCTATAACTTCTATTTTCCTATACAGAAAACAGAGCAATAATAGTGATACAGGACAAACCTTTGAATAGGACCAACAAGCAGTTGATTATGTTTATATGGCTACTCTGCAAATTTCTAAAAGATAATTGTGTTTTTCAATGTTCTACAAAATTTAAATCCATTACACTCTCTACATGAATTTTCATTTGAGCATCATTTTGAAAGTAAACCAATGTTTTGGGAAGAAGCAACAGGAAACATTTGAACTTTTTAATTTATTAATAATTAATTTTTTCATACTACATTTAAATGAAGCAAATCAATTTAAATATTTATTTTCATTCACATATCACTCCCTTAGACGTCTTATTCTGTAGGAAAAATTTGAGAGTGATGATGAAATAAATGCAAATTTTTGGCTTGAAAAGTTTTTGTTTTAGAAAGGTTTAACTTCTCAAGGGTTTTACTATACAGTGGAACCTCGGTATACGTCTGCTTTAGAATACATCCAATTCGGAATATGTCCTGTTTAAACGAAACAAATTTTGCTCGGTATATGACTTTTGTTTGGTATATGACTTAATTCAATTATATGCGCCATGTATGAACAAGTAGCACTCTCGTGTACTACACTAGACTAGACGTTCATGGTGCTACGGTGTATAACTTTGTTAAATTTTTTCTGATTTTTAATTTGTAAGTAACATTTTATTATTTTTATTAATCATGAATTGCAAAAGGGCAACAGAAAAATAAAAAAATGACTAGAATCACAACGAAACTAAAAAAGAGATTGTTGAGATATATGAAGGTGGCACGTGTGTTCGAGATGTAACAAGATTTGACTGTTGCATTCCGTATTCCGAGAACGACGATATCGACAATCGTGAAAAATAAAGACATTATTAAATTTGCTAACATTGCGAAAGGGGTTAAATCAATTTCTAAACAGAGATCGAAGACATTAGATCATGTCGAGAAATTGCCTTTGCTTTGGATAACTGAAAAACAGTGTGCCGGCGACAGCGTATTGGAAGAAATTATTTGCGAGAAAGTTAAAAAGGATACATGCTGATCTCATGAAAAATCAAGCAGAAACTAGCGAGGTAAGCGAGGTGTTTAAAGCCAGCCATTTTTTTTACATGAGAACGGATTAATCATTTCTACATTACTTCTTATGGAAAAGGTTGGTTTGGTATACGTCCTATTTGGTATAAGTCCAAACACCAGGAATGGATTAAGGTCATATACCGAGGTTCCACTGTATTTACAAAAGATTTAGTTAAATTTGAAACTATTTATAAGAAAGGTTTATATAACTGATACATTTTTATTTAAATTACAATTTGACTTTTTTGTATTTTTATTGTTTTTTATTAAAAGCCTGTTGTATTTTTTTATTTTGGGTCACGTCTTTCAGTATTGCTCCCATACTGTTAAAATAAAAAATAACTACTCAAAGTCAATAAAATATCTTCAGTTGTTTCAGACAATTTAAAAAAAATTATTATTTTCTTTCAAATACATATTGTTGTTGAAATAAAATAAAAGTCTGATTAATTGGAGGTTACTGATCAATTAACATGGAGATTTGTCCATTTTTAATTTACAAAATAAATTCAATTTATCTCCTATTAATATGTCTGAAATGCCAACCTATTATAGAATCAAATATTCTTTTGTTGTATTTCTAAAATTTAACAAGCAACTTTTAAAATTTTTTAAAAATTTTTGAGAAATTTCATATTTCTAACATTCTACAGTCGACCCCCCTATAAGATCATTGATTATTCCGTTTTATATGAATTCCATGTTGTACGAGTCACTTAGATTTTACAAATACATGTACCGGGCTGTGAACGGCTCACAAATTTGTAAAATTTAAGTGACTCGTACAACATGGAATTCATATAAAACGGAATAATCAATGATCTTATACGGGGGTCGACTGTATTGTATATTTTAAGTCCACACTTTATTCTTGTCTTTATAAGTATTGTTTCACATGTACTGGACAAGACCATCTGGCATTGAATATCCTATTACTAAGTTATGGGATCTTATGGGAGCATTTCACACATTTGTCCAGCAGGCAGACACCAGATACCCAGTCAAAGGTAGCCAGAGAATATCTAGGTGTTGTCCATTATCAGATGCTGGATATCTGGCACCAATATACCAAGGTCATTGCAACCTTTCATACAATCTATTCAGTAAGTATATGGAAGCAGCAAGAATATATGGTTCTGATAAAAATTAGAAACTCCATGTTTAAACTGATTGCTAATCAGAGATGTGTGAAAGTAACAGATCGACAGAATATCCAGCATCAAATAGATGTAAAATTAGGCTAATTGTTCAACTAGTTTGATATTACAGCTAAAGACAAAAGGAGTCTACAATAACTTTTCTGGTAATAAATTCTAGACTGTTATCACTATAAGTCAAATTATATTTTAACAAATACTTCTGCTTGTGAAGTAAATTAAATAATGATGAATAATTTTAACTTAATGTATTGTAGTCAATTGTGCATTCTGTTTTCCAAAATTCTCTTCTTCTGTTACAAACCAAAATAAATTCAGTTTCAATTCAGTCATATAAAACTGTATTAAGATAAATTTTAGATTCATATATATTAAGAGAATATCAAAAAACTAGATTAAGATATGACAACAACAACATTTAAATAACAACAACTCAAAGCCTGAGTAGTATATAATAAATTACCAAACGATCGCCTAAATATCGGGCTATAATATGGCTAATTAAATGATTGGAATAAAGTAATTTGACATTAGAGGTAGGCGTTAGGCGCCATCTCTTAAGTAAATTAATAATTAAAATTAAATAAATAAATTTTAGAACCTTCTGGAATAAAAGAATTGGCCCGGGACGGGGTTGAACCTGCAACCTCTGCTTGCCAGTTACGCCACCTGGACCCCGAGCGAGTCTTTGCTTCCAGAAGTATATTAGATTTAGATATAACCTTACTTGGTTAAATTACTTTATTCCAATCATTTAATTAGCCATATTATAGCCCGATATTTAGGCAATCGTTTGGTAATTTATTATATACTACTCGGGCTTTGAGTTGTTGTTATTTATATATATATATACATCGCCGGGTATTGCGTTAACTGGCTGAGTGCTGTTATGGATGTGGGCGAAGGAGTCGTCCCCAGTCAGTGATGTATTTAACCAAGTAAGGTTATATCTAAATCTAATATACTTCTGGAAGCGAAGACTCGCTCGGGGTCCGGGTGGCATAACTGGCAAGCACACCGCATGGCAAGCGGAGGTTGCGGGTTCAAGCTCCGTCCCAGGTTAGTTCTTTTCTTCCAGAAGGTTCTAAAATTTATTTAATAATTTATTTATTTAATTTTAATTATTAATTTACTTAAGAGATGGCACCTAACGCCTATCTCTAATGTCAAATTACTTTATTCCAATCATTTAATTAGCCATATTATAACCCGATATTTAGGCGATCGTTTGGTAACATCATTTAAATACAGAAATATGTATTAATGTAAATAATATATACATACCAAAAAATGTAGTATCCAGATCAATGCCATTACTATTTAACATTCCCATTTTGCTATAGCAATTGTTTCGTATTGCTGCTACTGCTCCATCTGGATTTAACAAAGGAGCAATATGGATTCTTGTAGATTTCACTAACTGTAAATCATTGAAAAAATATTAATTTTTATCAATAAAATTAATTGTCTAAATAGCTGAACAAATGAAAGTATAGTTACATTTGTAATAGTTGTATCTTTACCATAATGCATCAAAATGAAAGTGGCAAACTGTAGAAGTAATTCAGTTGTAATGATTTCATTTCCATGCAGACCAGCACTATACATAATTTCAGGTCGTCCCAGTAAATGCTTTTGCGGTGGTGTGCCAATTTCCAGAACCCATATATCCCTTTTCTGCTTAGTTTGTCCAATACTATACAAATTGAGAAATTTCATTAGTATAAAAAATCTTTTAAATGAAACTTACTTCTTTTAAATCCCATACATATAAAACTAGAAATCTTAGAAACTTGAAAAGTTATATTTAGTTTAAACTGCTCTGAATCACAGCAAAAGATTATATGTTTAACCAGATGGATCTTGTGTAGTCTTTAGCTTATACATATATAATTTCCACTTTCTTTCACTCTTAAAAATTTAACAGTTTTTAAGAACTTTTATGCACTTATCTCAGATCTTTAATGAACAAACATACTGTACCTAAAGAATGTATAGCAGTATTTTTATTAATTTACCTTAAGGTAAGATTAAATCCTATTGAATACTTTGCTACACATAGTTCTTTGTATTATAAATATGAAAAAAAGTAATAACACTACCAGTAATTCAATGATCCAATGTGTACGATTTAATTATACAGTAAAACCTCTCTAAATGGGGACACCTGTGATGCAAGCAAAATGTACCGCAGTTAGTGAGATGTCCCTAGAAGAACAATTCACACATTTAATGTAAATATATTTAGTGCAGTCATATAATTATGCAGAAAAAAAACATTAATTGAAATGAGGTATTGTAACACTACAACAGATTTTGAGCTTGAATTTTTAGTGTGCAGACCTATACATTCCCACCATTGTCCATCCTTCATTAATCTCAAGTACATAACTAGATAAATGAATGAAAATAGAGACCAGATATAGAAAGCTGGGGTCAGAGGTCAGAGGCTCTGATTAACTATGTATGAGTTTTTGGGTCTGTACCAGACGTCATGTGATTTTTAAATTAAATAATGATTGAAAATTGCACCATTTCATTCTATTACACATCATGGAAAAAGTCAGCGTATTATGAGTTTTTTTATAGTTAACTCATGTCTTAGTTTTAGCATTTCTAACATACTGTACTGTACATCTATTTGGTCAAGATTGCCAGATAGAAACAAAAGTATAAATCACCAAAAGTTGAACACAAAAGTTGCCAAAAATCATCAGAAATTTAAAATTTTTAAATTTGATTTTTAAAAAAATAAAATTTTCCCTATTTTTACTAATACTGTAAAGTATTTTGTCCAGTTTTCTCAGTATTTTGTGACTAGTGTCCCACTTAGCAGGATCTGGAGCTGTCCCAGATGCTGAGTAGAGAGGTGTTCCAAATACAGAGGAAGGGACATGTTATAAATGATAGGGCTGTGTCTAATGAAAAGGAAATGCATCCCACTTAAAGAGGTGTCCTATATGAAAGGTTTTACTGTATTTATTTTAGTTGATTACATACATTAATAGATGCATTTTGGGCTGACTTACATTTTATGGCCCCTCATCAGTGACTGAAATTATTAAGATCTAGATAAGTACAAAATTAACTAAAAACTAAAAAAAAATAATAACAAACATAACAGTAATATCTTACAGTAATATCAACCATTTCTTAAATACAAAGTATATGAACATAACATGGAGTATATTTAACATTAGGCAAATATAATAACTGATATTCTAATGTTTAAATATATTCCATGTTATGTTCATATACTTTTGTATTTAAGAAAACAGTTGATTCAACACAAAGTAAGATATTACCATTATGTTTGTTATTATTTTGTTTTTTTAGTTTTTAGTTAATTTTTTACTTATATCTAGATCTTAATAATTTTGGTCACTGATGAGGAGTCATGAAATGTAAGTCAGCCCAAATTGCATCTATTAATGTATGTGATCAACTAAAATAAATATACTGTATTTTACGGATTATAAGACGCTGCAGACTATAAGACGCACCTTAATTTTTAAGCAATTTTTTTAAAAAAGTAACATTTTTACCATTTTTACCGCCTAAATTCAATCCTTTTATACTGAAGCAAATGCTGATCCACCAATCAATGCTTAGTAGCTGATCATACAATGGTTGCACAATGATCGCTGGCCAATCCACGGTCGTGGATTCAGAACCACCGATCGTCTCGTGATCCAAGTTTCTATGGCGACAACCATTGCTCATTTGAAAAGAGAAAAAGCGCAGGAATCGTACGTCCAGATGATTCTATCCCAACACCTCGCAACTCATGTTCGTCGCATCGGTGCACTGCTGCTGCCAGTCAAATTCAATGTTGCCAGTTAGAGATAGGTTTCCTGCAGCATCAAATATATGGCCATTTTTAAGACGTGGGAATTTTAAATCAAACACTGGGCATTTTTATATTAATTTTGAGTATAAGACGCACCTGAATTTTGGAGGTAATTTTTCGAAGAAAAAAGTGCATCTTATAGTCCGTAAAATACGGTGATTAAATCTTATGTTTTGGATTATTGAATTTTCAAGAATTATTTACTTGAAATCTTCATAATAAAAGAAAAATACACTTTATGCCAACATTTAACTTTACAATGTAATTTCACTAACGTGTTGTGGTGTTACGATCGATGACCTATAGCAAATAAACGAGTTCACAAGTACTTTTGAATAGCATAAAGCTATCATCATGAAGTGAAAAATTGAATACAACTGTTTCCAAGATTGGAACATTTGAACAGCTCATGGATTTAAATGAAGCATGTGGATAGAATATCAATTTGAATTTGAAATAGAATAAAATTCAAAAACTCTTGAGCAGACATATGAGTATTGTAATATCCCAAAATGTATAGTGAACAATAATAAAGTACTGGAGATGTTGACTAGCTTGCTTAAATAATGTTGTCCATATTCACAGGATTTCAATAATAGTAGTGTTGCACAGTGTTAAGGCCGAGATGTAAAGGTTTTCCCAAATAAATAATTCATGCCAATTGTTACACCATTTGAGTAATTTTGTTTGGGCCCCGAGTGGCTGATAATCTTACTAAAGCAATTTTTTAGCTAATTTGTTTGACGGTCTGTTGTTTCTGATATCGTCCTGATGTTCTAGGATGCAAAAAATTAACTTTCTGGCCGTGACCCCTATGTAGCTTGTCTCTTCTCCTGATAAATCATGTTTTTTAATGGAATTTGATAGACCCCAGATTTTTCATTCAATTTAAAACTATCCCTATCGTTACGTAATAGTCTTCATAATGTTGGTTGTGTGGTTAACGGTAATATAAAACCATTCATTCTAAAAAGATGTACTATTTTTAAAGAAATGGGGCCTAAAAACAGAATCGGGGATTGCTATTTTTTAGCTCCTTTTTGTTGTGAAGAAAAGACTGTGGAAAAAGCTTATTTTTAACATGATTTTGGAGAAAACGGAATGTAGATCGCAAATAACAAGCTTTTTGCGTAGTACTACTAATGAGTTGCAATTCTTCTACTAATGCATGGTTGGAAGGTAGGAGGTAAGCTCTCCTAATGAGGGAAGTTATGGCAGAGTTCACATAGTTTATAGGTTGGAAGGCTGTTGCTGGGATAATTTGCGGTGCATTATTATTTTTATGATATACAGAGAATAGGAGCTCAGGAGATGTATGGATTTCTAGATCTAAGAAAGAGATTTTGGCATTTTGTTCTTCCTCTATCATGAAGTTGATAGAAGGATAGAGGCCAACACATGAATAAATTGATCTAAATCTTCAGTAGAGCCTTCCCAAACAAGTAGTATGTTGTCAACATACCATAAATACATAATCAAATATTGGATGGTCAAGGGGGCATTGAAAATACGATGTTCAATGTTGCACATAATGAGCTCTGCCAACATAGATGATAGAAGGGAACCCATTGGTACTCCCTGTGTTTTTTTATATATCGTGCCATTAAATTGAAAATAATGTTGAAAAAAGTTGTGCAATACTCTTTTATTTGCTAAAGGTCACCGATCATAACACCACAACAGGTTAGTAAAATTACATTGAAATCTTCATTTGAATAATTTTACTATATGTACTCCATCCTTGTCTTTATCTGGTATGATATCTTTATCAGAACAGAAAAAATTAATTGCTATAGGTAAAACTATTACTTTAATAGTCAAAATACTTTTATCACTATTAAACTAATATTTTTGTCTTTAATAGGGTTTTAAATTCACCCAACTCCTTATATAAGACTATAAATTTGTTTAAACTTATATTTATAATAAATTCAGAAATATTTTCATGTAAATGAATTCTTTATTATGCTTTGATCAAACCCAAGATAACTTTCTTTGAGAAGCCATGATCTATAGCAATCAGAGAGATTCTGTTCAATTTATTATCACTGTCTGTCTGTAATGACTTGTGTCTAAAGGCTGTTTGAATTAGGGCCACGAATGCTGCCAGTTTGTGGGGTTATATCAAAAGAAAGTCAATGTACGTAGGAGGTATTGGATAAGTGGTTTAACAAAAAGTTTAGTGTAGTAAGCAACTCAAGTCTTGTAAATACTAAGATTTAAGAAATTGTGTCTATTTATGACACTTTTATTTTATTACTGTGTCTATGCTGCTCCAACTCAATTAATAATAATGTCTTCTATAAATTTAGAAATAACTTCTTTAAACCAAATAACTTACAGAAAATCATCTACATATCTTAATATATGTTTAATATCATTAAAAGTATTTTAATGATATTAAACATATTTTAAGATATTTTAAGATAAATTTAGACTTTCTACCCAGAATACTACAATTTTTACAAAATCACNGATGCTAAAAATTTTATTCTATATTTTAAAATAGGAATTATGCGAATATCCTTATATTAGAGAACATTATCAACTACATTCGACTTGTCATTTGGCATTTGCTGGGCTCGTTCATCAAACTTGTGTTGTTGGAAATACAATTGATCACTCTTTGAAACACAAACATTGTACTCCAGAAAGAGCAGAGAAATATTTTAATGTAGGCGAATTTTTTATTTGTAAAATTTCATATATACACACACATATATATGTTTAATTTATAAATATTGCAGTATGTAATTCCACATCAACGTTTCGAGAGAAATATAGATGAAATAACGTACATCAAAATTGCCGGAAATTTTGGGTTGAGACAAACTATTGAATTTGTAAAACCATACGTTTCCAAAGATCATCATCATCATCATCCATTATACTTCAGGGTATCTGCATTATGGGCATTAAGCCGAGTTACTCATTATTATCCAGATGAGGTAATAAAACATATTTTAAGATATTTTAAGATAAATTTAGACTTTCTACCCAGAATACTACAATTTTTACAAAATCACTGAATATCAAGGACTCTATAAGAAGCCTTGAAGATTGTCTACATCATTTATTGCTCCATAAGAAATCAAATTACTCAAAATCAGATTGAGAAAATCCAATACTGATTTGTTTCACATGGTTTTAAACTTAAAAGTGGCAGAATTCCCGATAATGTTCCTAGTAGGAGCATTGTTGCTCTGACTGAACTGATGGAAACAAATTAATATAATCATTGAAATTACTTCAAGGAAATTCACTATAGAATATTCTAACTAGGTTTGAAATCTAAACTAGATGAATAAGAATGTAAAGTATTTTCCAAATTAATATTAAATTAATTAGAAAAAATTTTTGTTATTGAATTTTATTTATGTTTAGTAAAAATTGGTATTTTGTTGTTTATTTTTTGTTATTTTGTAAACCAATACTGTATATTTTGAATTGAACAGTATTTTTCCAATAGTTTTGTATTTTATTTGAATTTAAAATATTACCATATTTACATGAATGTAGGATTCATGTTTTTCAGGTTTTAGTATCTCTGAAAAATAGGGAACTTAGATTCAATGTACTATATCATAATTAGTGACTCTAATGCCATGTGTCTAATTTCATTGTGTCATTTTAATGATTTTTGTTAGATCAATATTTGTAATAGTAAATACATAAGAGGATAATTTCACTCAATCTTGTTAGTATATTATAATAATGGGATAAGTACTTGGATGAAAATACCACAAAAAGTTATGCAATACTCTTTTGAGAAATGTTGCATTTCTGATATTTAAACAGCAACGAGAATAACTGCACGTGGGAAGATATGAGCATCAAATCCAGCATTAATCCAGAAGAGCCTAACATGTAAAATGAAGAGGTTTCAAATATCAATAACACTCTGTTATTGATATTTCTGACAATGACTCTGTTTAACTTATTTGACTTGCAAGAAATTTGTTTCAACTTGCCTAGTTTTGTTTTTAATTAAAATCCTTATGTGAGCAAATAGGAATTAAGATGTATCTTAAATTCAGTGGCATTTTACATTAGAGTAAATATAGTTTCTTTTAATATTATATTTATAAAATCAATAAACTATATTATTGTAACTTAGTACCTGTAAATATTTGTTATAGAAGGATTTAATGATGATAAACTATGCATTACATTGACTAATTCTGAATAATTATGATATTCCAGTTTTGCTTCTAAAGGATCTAGAATAATACTTAATTTCACTAGTTGTTTATTGGCTACTTCAATAAAAATGGTCTTAATTTCATATCCGGGAGCAGTAACTAAAAAATAAAAAATAAATTATCATCTAGAAAAATAAATATATATAACAACAAAAAATAAATTACCATAAATTGTATATTTTCCAACAGGAAGCAATGCCCCAAACATTCCTCTTTCTGAATCTGTATTAATACGAATGTCTTTCCTATGAAAATTCACTTGAAAGTCCTTTATAATAATTCCTGATTGATCAAATAGTTGGCCTCTAATTCCTGAATTAGTAGAATGTAAGAATTTAACTTATGTTATGAAATAATTTTTAAATATATTATAAAAATTCTGTTAAAAATATTTGTCTATGAAGAAAAGCAGTTTCTATTTTATGTTTTTCAGAAGTCAAACATGAATCATGTTTTAATTAAATTTGTCAAATCAGAAAAAATTGGCAGAAAAAGATAAGTGCTATGTAAAATTTGATCCACAATGCCATACTAACCATTACAAACAAATGAAATGGACACTAACCAAAGCAAAATGTTGTTTGTTTCAACATATGGTTTGTTAGGTGACAAAAATTTAGTTAGAACATGATTGGTTAAAAAGACTTCAAACATTAGTTAGGAAAAGTTTATTGGTCAAATAAACCAAAGTTTGGAAAAGTTGAGATATTTTCAACTCTAATGAAATAGTTGAATAGTCATCAAAAAAGGATGAACAGGCAGTTCTTATCTACTTTGTAACAGTGCATATGCAAATGTTAATCTAGCTTAATACTAGAAAATATTCAATATTCAAGATCTTGTACATTACAGTTATAAGAAATAAATTTGATATAACAAATACTTCCAATATTGATTGCACTGTATATGCAATCAATGATGGTCTGATAATTTTATTTGCCATCATAAATGTTTTTAAAAAACATTTTGAAGTTCAAATAAACAGATTTTAATTTTTTTTGTGTCAATGGTATCCTCTTGTAATGCACACAGAAATTCTCTCTTTGGCACCTCTGGTTTAATTTATGACATGAAAAGAAGCAGGATAGATAAAAAATTACACTGTTGTCAACATAACACATAATGTCAGACATGACCTATGCCATAGTGTCAATTTATGGTGCTGCAGACAAAAGTTAATAAGATGTGTGGTTATCCTTACATAGAAATATGCAACACAATGCACAACTCCATGCTAAACACAAGACTGTGAAACAATACTTGAGGTATGGAATTCCACTCACACACCAAAGCTCTCCTAAGCTAATAGCCTAATTACTGAATCTGGAATTTTCTGTAAAACATATAAAGTCCCACTGTTCTCTGCAGCATGCTAAATGGACAGTTGTGGTTAACAAAATGTATCCTGCAGGCCTCCAGGAGTACAGTTCCACTTAAAGCAATCATCTTTATATAGTAAACCTGGAAACACTTGTTCCTGTGACTAATCTAAGATCCCTAGCAAGGTTGCTCATTGCATTTAGGAACAAAAAAACAAGCTTATCATGGCATTGTAATACTAGGGCCAGGGCCGGATTAACCCACTTTGGGGTCCTAGACATTTTCTTCTTACCATGTCCCCTTTCTCTCCCACAAGAAATACAGCACACAAAAAATATAAAACAATAAATAAAACAAAACTAAATAGTGTGAAAAACTAAAACAAATCTTAAATTTTTATTAATAAAAAATATTTAATTTACAACAATAAATTTTAGTTTTTCTAGAAAAGTTTAAACAGTCTGTTTATAAATTTTAAAAAATTGATATTTATTTTATTAAATGTCTAACAAAAGTTATTATACAATAACAATATTACTTTAAAATATTAATTGTTTAATTTAATCTTTTTTGGTTACTATTTAAATAATATAATGTTTTACCCATGAAAGATAAATCGAATAATGAAAAAGATAATTTAAATAAAAGCCAAGATAGTTTAAAAAAAGTAAGTATATATGTTACCGCTAAAGCTCGAAATCCGTTAATGTGCGCATTACCTAGCTAATCTGCAAATTAACTAGGGTGATCTGTTAAAGTTGCTAAAATTGTTCTATTTCTCAAATTACCTAGGTAATCTGCAAATTACCTACTAGGCACTCGGTAAAGTGAAAATAAGATTTTTGCTGGAACAACAGCAACGTTTCTGTACACTTAAATTAACATAATGTTATTTATTTAATTTTCAATATCTAAAGAATCAAGTTAATACAATCAACAAATTAGTTGATTGAATCAATCAATTAATAAAACTTTAATACAAAAATCAAACGGTTTAAAATATTACTACAATTACGGAAATGAATTTGCAAAACATATGATAAAATTGTACTTACTTATTAGTGCAATCTAAAGATTGGTGACACTTTGAATTACGTAGCAATTGGTTTTTGCGACAAGCACGCCTATTTGTGGTACATTTAGATTTGCAGTCACATTTTCTGAAACCCTGCCCAGTACCAAGGGATTGTTTTATTGCTGTTTGACGTAAAGATATTTCTACAGCAGGGACATCCATCTTCTTTCGTTAAAAATCTCTCTTTGCAAACACTGAATTCAGATTTTGCATACAATTGTTTTAAAATACCTGTTTTAGTATCAAGTTTATAAAAGCCATCCTCTGTTTTACTAAGAACCACAGCTAAAATTGAACGTGCATCAGTTTTTGCTCTGTCTTCTTCGGGTACTTTAATTCTCACAGCGAAACCTTCATCGACGTTTGGGTGCTTTGCATTAGAAACTGCTAACATTTTCTTTGCTTGCTTTTCTAAACATTTCTTGGCTTCATCACGCTGTATTTTCTGATCCATATTCTTTTTACAGATGATGCACAATACATTCTTACCATACCCTTCCTCTTTAGGATCTACTTCACCACAAACTGCGTGAACAAACATATTACACGATTTACACTTGTGAGCACTTGATGCTGCTTTTGAGCAAACAATACAGACTATGTCTTGTATAGTGCTCTTTACAGGCTCCGTACGAAACTGTGATGGCGATTCTGCTGAAGTTGAGAGTAACTCAGTGATGACTTCTTCAACTTGCAGAGGCGATTCCTTGGAGGTGCAGGGTAACTGAATATTCTTCGTGACTGCATCATCAATCAACGGTATAGAAGGCAGTTTAAGATTACTATCGGTAAATTCTTGTATTTCTATAGGTGATTCTGTAGAAGCGGGGGATAACGGAATGTCCTCTTGAGTAAGATTTGACTGTGATCTCATAATCACAGTCTCTTGTGAATCTTCTAATTTTTCAAGGTCTTCTTCAGTTTTTATCGAATGTCAAACAATTCTCCGGCATGGACAAACTTTTTCAAACCTTTCTCGCGCATCTGACAACGGCTCAATGAGTTTTTCACAGCCTCGTACAGTCAACACATCACACCTTTGAATTATTTGATAATCTCGAGATGATTCTTTCTTCTTGGAAACTTTTATTTGCTTTACATCTTCAATTATGGAATCATACTTTGGTTTGTTATTAAAACACTACGTATTATATTTTAAATCTTCGCTAAAGAGGTTTGCGAAGAATCTTTTCTTGATTTTACTCACCAATTCGGTGCTTGCTTGCATTCTAGGATTTAAATTTATCTACGTAAAAAGAAGGAGTGGGGAAAGGAAGTGAAAGAAACAAACTTTTGAACTTTAACGATACGGAAGCCGTTAATGTGCAGATTACCTAGATACTCTGCAAATTACCTAGGTAATTTAAGAAATTGAACAATTTTCGCAGCTTTAACGGATCACTCTAGTTAATCTGCAGATTAGCTAGGTAATGTACACATTAACGGATTTCGAGCTTTAGCGGTAACATATAAATATGAATAAACTTTATTTAAAAATTCTGTTTCTAGTCTTTAATTCATCAAAATTATCAATTATTTCATCATAATTAATATTATCCAAAGCATTTTGTTTGATGTATAAAACACCTAAAGAATTTAATTTTGATTCACTCAGTGAGTTTCATAAATAATTTTTTACAGATTTTAACAGTGAGAATGTCTATTTAGTATGCCCCGATGCCTGCCGTTCAACTGGATATCTATACATATAAAATTACATGTCCTGACTGACTGACTGATTCATCATCTCCCAGAGAAAAGTGCTGAACTTAAAGAGGTTGAAAGAGGTGAACATTTAGGGTACATCATGAAAATGCACACATAAGAAAAAAGAAGGGATTTTTAGAAATTCCCTGGGGGGGAGATAAAGAGGATTAAGGCTTAACCTAAAGAACGTCTACTACTGTACTATTTTAGATGCAATTTTTTGTTTTTGATAGAAAGAACTTAATTTCCAAACATACAATATTTACTGAATCATTTGCCTGTGCAATGCCGGGCTCATTTGCTAGTAATAGAATATAATAGAAAGATTAGAAGTATGAAATAATCTAATAATCTTAACCTTTGTTGTTATTTTTGCCGGGCTCATCATCTTGTAGTTAATATTATTCTTATTGCTATAAAAAAAATTCTAAATTATTGGAAGAATTGCTTTCAATAAGAAGAAACATAAGAACACATTAGATTTTAGAACTCACAATAACTATATAAAAAGCAATATATTTTTGTTTATTTGTTTATTATATACAGTTGTCCAACAGAAAAATAAACTACCTTATTTACAAATCTTTTCAAAATAGACAGTTTGACCAGGCCCTTCTAAAAACCAAACCCTAGACATTTGTCTCATTTGTCTATGCAATGATCCGGACCTGACTAGGGCATTCACTGCTGAAGGATCAGCTGATATTTTCATAACATCAGAACCTCTGCCAGACCCTTGAAATGACATTCTGTGGGACATATAAAGCATGGGACTCTGTTGTTTGAGTTTGTCCTGCCTAGATCCACCCAACGATTCTACCTCACGTAGCATTGTTTATATCAATTCTTTAGCCCTATTTGTCTAATGCAAACAACTTTTACTTCATGAAAAAGAAAAATTAACATGCTGTTCTGCAGCTACACAATGTCTGGCTAAAACAGATTAAACTGTCTCTTGACATGACTACAGTGTCACTACACATCCAATGAACACAATAATTATACAGAACTGTTTGGAAACCAACATGAAACTATTTAAGCATAGATACAAGTGATATAGTTTGACATTTTTATGAATTTAAAAATTATCCTTAATTTTAATATATTAAAAAATAAATACAACTTTTTACGAAGAATAATTCTTTGCTTTAGAGGTTTAGAATTGGCATCTCCAGTTGTTAAGCATCTATGAGTTTTTTGCGCAAGCCTATCGATAAACTTACTGCTGAAACTGTGGGCTGCGGCGATGCGCTTGATGCGTTGGATTTCTCGTAGCGCGTCGTTAATGCTAGAGCAATGGGTAAAAGCTCTGCGGATAAGAGCCCTGAAAGCGGACATTTTGTAAGTAAAGGGGTCATTCGAGGTTGCAGGGATAAAGAAAGATTGAAGATTAGGCTTATGGAACACACTAGTAGCTATGCAGCCATGATCCAAGAGGATATTGAGGTCCAGGAAGTGGGCCATCCTGTCATCCTGCTGGTCTAATTTAAGCTTAAGTCCAAAAGGGTTGTTGTTCACAATCTGAAGAACGGTGTTCAGATCCAGCTTGGACTTCCAAATGATAAGAATGTCATCAACATAGTGCATATAGAGAACGATTTCCGCGTTGAAGGACTGTAATACTTGGTTATCCAGTTTTCTTACAATTAATTCGCAGAGGTCTCCAGAGAGGGGGCTACCCATAGGTACTCCCCTTTCTTGAAGATAGATTCGTTGGTTGAAGGTGAAGAATGAGGTGTAGCACATAAGGTGGGCCAGCTCCAACACCTGCTTGTGGTATCCAGGTGGAGAGGCTTGGAAAAGGAAATCTCTAAGGGCACAGAAGCACGGTTCCAATTTAATGGAAGGATACATAGCTTCAAAGTCGAGAACTGTAATAAATTCCTGATCCTTCAGAGCGATATTCTGCAATTTAGTGATGAGTTCCCGCGTGTTCGAAACGGCGTAGTTATAATCTTTCAAATGGCCTTTAAGGAGCTCATGTAGACCCTTCTCAATAGGTAGGGTTGGAGATCTTGATTTGTCAACAATCGGCCGGATTTGCGTGCCTGGTTTATGGGTTTTAGCATAGCCGAATAGC